CCTGAAGAACGGCCAAGTCTTTCGCATATTCCTGAACAATTCGTTGCCTTTGCTGATTACGACGGCGGTGTCGGCGGTGCGTTGCCTGGACATCAATGCGAATCGCAGCAAGATAGCGGTTGTCGATGATGCCGGACGGCTGGTGGTGCGAGATTTGCTCAACGATACGATACTCTATCAGGATGTGGGCGTGAATAGCGTCACTTGGAATACGCACCTGGACACAATGCTCTGCTACACGCACACCACGGGCGGGCTGAGCGTGCGAGTGGGCAATTTGCCACCGCGGGCACCGCAGAATATGCACGGCGTGGTGGTGGGCCTGTGTGGTGCAACTGCATTTTGTCTGCGCGGCAACATAATGCACAATACGCCGCTGGCTCTGGGAGCCACCATGTGGCAGTTCATCGAGGCGGGCTTGTTTGAGTAGGTATTGAATATGCTTAAGAAGAATCCAGTCTAATCCCTACCTTCTCTTCCCACCAGCGAGGCCTACCAGGTGGCCTGCCTTGGCGTCACCAACAGCGACTGGGAAGGCCTAGCTCAATCTGCTCTCGAGGCGCTGCACATCAATATTGCACGCGATGCTTATGTCAAGGTGCGCAATCTGCCTTGGCTGCAGCTCATCGGCGAGCTGCGTGAGCAACAGCAGCGTGCCACCGTGCCCAAGGAGGTGCTGCTCGGCGAGAGCTGCGCCTTTGCGGGCAAGTTCAAAGAGGCCGCTCGTTTGTTCCTCAAATGCAATCAAACCTCTCGTGCGCTCGAAATGTACACGGATCTGCGCATGTTCGATCTGGCACAGGAGTATCTGAAGGACGGCAGCGAAGCCGAGAAGCGTGAGCTCGTGCGTAAGCGTGCGGAGTGGGCGTACTCCGTGAAGGAACCCCGAGCAGCGGCTGAGCTGCTGCTCTCCGCCGGCGAGCATCAAAAGGCAATAGACATTGTGGCCGAGCAGGGCTGGGCAGATGTGTAAGTGAATGAGAGAATGAGATCGATCGTAGAGGAATTACTATATATATATCTCTGTTTGCAGTCTGTACGACATTGGCCGCCGCTTGAGTCTGAGTGAACGCGATGCTGTGCTGTCGGTTGCTCAGAATCTGAAGAAGCTCAAAGCCTTGCCACTCGCTGCTGAGATGTTCAAGAAGTTGGGCGACGAGGCTCAGGTGGTGCAGCTGCATGTCGAGGTGCAGGATTGGGCAGAAGCGTTTCGTTTGGCTGAGGCTTTGCCCGACCTGCTGCCCACTGTGCACTATCAGCATGCGCAGTGGCTGGCTGAAACGGATCAGTTTATAGAAGCGCATCAGGGTGAGTCTGAGCATAATATATAATCTTGTTTATAAACATTGTTTCTTTTGTTCCACAGCCTATTTAAAGGCTGGACGCACCAAGGACGCGAATCGTCTGCTGAAGCAGCTGAGCAACACGGCCATTGTCGAGAAGCGTTACCTGGATGCCAGCTACTTCTACTGGCTGCTGGCTAAACAGTATCTGGATATCTATCACGAGAAACCGTAAGCTTTATACGATTGCTAGTTGTTTCTATATACCCTGTAATACTTTCCCGTTTCTTGCAGTGAGCAAAATGCCATTGATCATCATCTGAACGAGTACAAAAACCATTTGCGCATCGCTAAGGTCTACTATGCGTACAGCGTCATCTTCAGCTATATGAAGGAACCCTTTACCACCCACTCGCCTGTCAGCCTCTTCAACGTGAGCCGTTTCATATGCAATGAGGTGGAACACAAGGGCGCGCCAAAGGGCGTCAGCATGTTGTATGTGTCTATCTGTGTATATTTTTATATAAATATGTAGAAAACTAATTGTTATGCACTTACAGCTCTGTTCTGTTCACGCTGGCCAAGCAGGCCAAATTGCTGCAGGCCAACAAGCTGTGTCTGCTGGTCAACAAGCGTTTGCAGTCGCTTAAGCCACCTGCGGGCGTTCAGGAGCAAATCGATGTAAGTTTTCTTACCAATATATGGCGAAGTATTTGATTTATTCTGCTATCTATCGGCAGCTCAATTTCCTGAATAGCAAGGCCTGCAAGAGCGGCTTCAATGATCCCGAGGAGCTGCTGCCGCTGTGCTATAAGTGCTCCAATTACAGCCAGCACTTAAATAACAATACTTGTCCCACCTGTCGACAGGATTACATATTTTCATTTGTTTCGTTTGGTAATTAAATTTAAACTAAATCGAATCCAATTATATTTATACTAACCTTGCTGCTTTGCAGAAATCTTGCCTTTAGTACAATTCTATCCGGAGGTGGACATCAGCGATGCCGAGGCGGAGCGCTTGCTTTTGGCACCTGCCAAGAATGCCGAGGATGCGGATCCCTTTAATGAAGATGTGGCCACCGCGCTGCCCTTGAGCTTGGACCGCAATGCATTGCGCGCCATAGATCCCAATCATGTGCTAATACTCAAGCGACAGGATAAGCACATACGCAACATATACTATCGTAATATATTGCCCGATCTTCAGGTCACCTACTGCTCGGAGTGTCTGCTGGTAAGACTGAGATGCAGAATCTCTGCATACCTGAGTTAGTTTCATATTTTCAATTTATATTTTCAGTTGTTCTACGCGGAGGACTTCGAGCTGCAGGTCCTGCAAAAGGGTCATTGTCCGTTCTGTCGCACCTCGTCGGATTTGCTGCTGAAAGACTTTTGAGTAACATAAAGTACAATGCTCGTTCGTTGTTTAGGAACACTTTAATTTTAAACATTTAGAAGGTTAGCCTATGTTTAATTTAAAACGTGATGTTTTTTTAACATATCCGTCCAACAAATAGAAACTAAGAAACTGCAAATTTGTCTATTGTGTCGAGGAGTTGGAACCACTCCCAGTCAAGGCTTAGGCCCACGTTTCCTCTTGGTAGCGTCTTTGCTTTATCAGTAGGTCGATGTAGCTCGCATCGTTGTCCAGTGCCTCGATGAATGCCTCTCTGACCGCCTTTGGCATATTGTTGGAGCTGCCCGCCACATAAATATAGGCATTCTGTTCCCTAATCAGTTTAGCTAGATGTGCGCCGTGCTGCTTGATCAGATGCTGCACGTAGACTTTATTCTCCTGGTCACGCGAGAACGCCACATGTACCTCCACACAGTTATTGTCCTGCCATGCCGTAAAGTCTTCCACGAAGTGGTAATCCTTCGACCGGTTCCGACAGCCAAAGAAGACAACGAGGGGACCCACATTCTGTCCCAACTGCTGCAAATGCAAACGATTTTGGATAATGCTGCGAAAGGGCGCAATTCCTGTGCCCGGTCCAATCATGATTAGGGGCGTCTGTACCTCCTTCGGCCAGGTCATTGTGCCCGGTTTGATGGCAGCACGCAACTCTACGCCCACCTCTAAGTCCTTCAGCCAATTGGAGCACAGACCCAAGCGCGGAGTGTGCATTATGGTCTTATAATTAACGACAGCCACGAGCAAGTCCAGTGTCTTGGCAGATTGATCGGATGCAATGGAAAAACTGCGCGTTTGTATCAGAGGCATCATCTCGAATAGCTGAGAGAGCGTCAGTTTGGCCATGGCATGCCGGAAGTCCTGCAACAGCTCCAGCAGCATACGACGTGGTCTGTTTACATACGATATCAAATCTTCTAGACCTTCGGCACTGCAGAACTCCAAGAGCTTCTCGCGCTCCATTTCGTCCTCGCAGTTCTGGGCGAGCACCTCAAGCAGTCTTTGACGCGGCCTAGCGCTCAGATCCCAAATATACTTCGCTGCCTGCTGCAACGAAAGCGGCTTGGAGTAAGCCAAAGGCAGAGGTAAATCCTCGTGAGCACTGCTCACTTCCACCACGGTGCTCGCATCGAACTGAAGCTGATGCTCCTTTAGCAGATCAAAGAAATCTTTGACAAGTTCACAGCTGTTTTGTGGCTGCACCTCGAGCACATCGCCAGGCTGCCAGCTTATGGCCTCTGTGCTTCTTTCCAGTCGCAGCAGACGCACGTCCTGGAAATGATCTGCAGCTGTGGTGCGTGTATTTTCAGCTAGCTTAAACACGTGTGCCTCCTGCCGCTGTGTCCACTGTAGGCGGTCCTCATCCAGTGGAGGCGACTGTTCAATCACACGCACGTTCCACCTCTTCACTATCGTCGGTTCTTTTTGCTTATGCACAGCTAACGTGTTACTTAGTGTGTTCCATAGCTCCGCTGTCCAGGCCAGCGATGTGCCCAAATGGCCATAGTCATGTTGATCATCACATAAGCCCAAGGGACAGATGGATTTGGCGCCCAGATTCAGCAGACGCTTGTGCAGCTTCTTCGCAGCATAATTGAATTTGGAATAACTGGAATCTCCCAGTCCCAGGCAGGCAAACTGTAAGCCACTCAGTGAATGGCTAGGCAGGCTGCGTTTGAGTAGGAAGCGCCAGGCTTGTTTCATATTGTCGGGCTCCATGCCATCGCCGGTGGTGGCGACCACAAAGATAACGAGTCGCTCCTCGACCAGCTGTTGAATATCGTAATCCTCCAGACTGAGTACCGGTCCCTGAAATCCCCATTGTCGGGACTCACGCCATATCTGCTCGGCTACATCTTGGGCGGTGCCAGTTTGACTGCCATAAAGTACCAAAAGCCGCATAATTAAATAAAATAACAAGAATTTTTAAAAGCTATGTAATTCCAACTGTTGATAAGGCCGGCACGATAGTTGTTCTAAATGCATGGTTCATAGAATGTATAAGGTAATGACCGATAGGTGGAAAGTATTTACAAGAAGAAGAAGGCAAACATATGTTAGTCAATAATAAAAATTTAAATATAATTATATAAGAAATAAATATATAAATAATAAAAACATTATTATTATAAAAAATGTATTTATATTTACACATATAAATAATGTTAAAATAACATTTTGCTGTTTAGCTGTGACGTCACAGTCTATGCGATAGTACAATTTTCTGTTGTTTAGGACAATTGATTATCGATAAGATTATCGACATTTGCTTGGTAATTAATTGCAAACCGATTTCACAATATGAATTCACGTTCTTCTCGTACAAAATTGAAAATTTAAACAAGTGAGTAACTTAATTCAATTGGCAATGATGACACAAAAACAGACGAATGTGCAATTAAGCAAACAGTTATCTTGGCTGCTGCGTCATGGCGCTGAAAAGGAGGGATTCACAATGCAGCCAGATGGGTACGTCTGCGTTGCAGATATTTTACAGCATCCGCGGTACGGCGCCCAGTACAGCAAAGAAAAATTGCGGGAAATCGTTGCAACGGATGCAAAGCAGCGTTATCAGTTGCGTTCAAATCCCGTAACGGGTGCAGAGGAGATACGCGCCAATCAGGGACATTCGCTTAGAACTGTGCAGGCAGAGGCCTGCATGGAGCGCATCAATAGCATCTCTCAACTGCCCGGTCCTGTGGTCCATGGCACCTACTACAAAAACTGGGAGCACATCAAGACGGAGGGCTTGAAGCGCCTGACACGCAATCACATACACTTCGCCGTGCTGAGCGGAGAAGGCAAAGCCGTGGTAAGCGGCTTTCGCAGCGATTGCCAAGTGCTCATCTACCTGGATGTGGCCAAGGTTCTAGCGGATCAGCTGGAACTGTATCGTTCCAGTAACAATGTGATACTATGTGCTGGCATTGCTGGTTGCATTTCTCCCAGTTATTTTCAGCGCGTTGTTGACAGACGAACGGGAAAGCCCCTATCTTTCTAATTCCCGATCTGGTTTCTGTCTGTTTAACTTTATATGTAGATGTCGCATTCGCTGTGCTTTGAGCTTTATTTCAAATGTGCCCCGTAAATAAAATAATGTACTAAGTTTGTGTTTTAATCAGTTGCTTTTAAAATTTGGTTTTTACAGAAATGAGCGACTTGGAGACCCGCACAAGGCCGTCCCAGGACGATTCGGTGCGCTGCAAGGTGTGCGAAGCTACCTTCAATACCCTACAGGATTGCCTGGCACATGAGCTGCTCAAGCACACAATAAAGCCGCAGAAGAAGCTGCGGAAATGCCTGGACGCAATCACAAAACTATTTGCCAGCGAACAAATCCAATGTGAACGTCGCGTGCTGAAGGCGACTCTGGCCCAGGCGCCGGCCGGACAGCATTTGCGTGCCATATTGACATTCTATGCGGGCAATTGCAGCGAACTGTCGGCTTGCTTCTCCCAAGTGCGAGACACCCTACAAAAACAGTTGCAGGGTAGAGTGAAAGTTTATCCCTTTGGCTCACTTGTAACGGGGCTGGCTTTAAAAGGTTCGTACTACCTGATCTCTACTGGCATCTTCCAGATTATGCTTATGTGTTCTTGCTCTTCAGATAGCGACATTGACTTGTTTTTGGAACAGACGGACGTTAGCTCGAACGCCATATCACATCGCCAATTGTTCAACAAGATCTACAATTTCTTGCGTCGCAGCGAATGCTTTCAGGATGTGTTCGCCATCCGGCATGCCCGTGTGCCCATCATACGCTGCAAGCACGTCTACAGCGGACTGAGTCTGGACATCAATATGTCCAGTCCGAACAGCACGTACAATTCGCGCTTTGTCGCCGAACTGCTGGGCAGGGATGTGCGAATGCGTGAACTTTTCCTATTTCTCAAATTGTGGGCCAAGAAGCTGAAGATCATCGGCAGCGGCAGCATGACCAGCTACTGTCTGATCACCCTCATCATCTTTGGCCTGCAGCAGCAGAGGCTATTGCCATCGATTAAACAGCTGCAGGCCCGATGCCCCGTCGTCGAGGTCATGGGCGTCAACTATGCCTACAGCTTCCAGCAGGTGCGTCCCATACCGGCCGGCGTAACCTCTTTGGATCTCATATCCGATTTCTTTGCGCTATACCATAAAATGAACTTTGAGAGGAAACTGTTGTCGCCCTACTTGGGCTATGCGCTGGATATCGACACAGCTTTCTCGGTGCCTGGCACATTTCCCGAATATGAGCAGCAGCTGCAGGCGATGGCAAAGGCGACGGGCGAGCAGCCGGAGCCCTTTCAGAGTCAACGCTGCGTTTGTGTGCAGGATCCCTTCGAGATGCAGCACAATGTGGGCCAGTCCATTTCCATTACGAATCTCTGTTACCTGCGCGAATGTTTGGTCTTGGCCCATCAAGCGTGTTGCGACAAGAAGCTTGTCGCAGCGCCGGCCAAACTTTATGACTATTTAATATTTGGCCTGGCCGAGCAGCTGTTGCAGAGCCAAAGGATAGAGCAGGGCCATCCTGCCAAGGTGCGAAGACAAGTGTCGACTAGGGAGCAGCAGCAGGACGCAGATAAACCCAAAATGGAGAAAACAGCCCAGATTTTGGTCGACGCAGCACCGAAGTCATCAACTCCAGCACCAAAGCCTGCAAGAGAAGCAAAGCCAACGAAAGTTCCTACAACTGCTGACATGCCAACGGAACCGCCAGCAGAACCGCCAGCAGAATCGCCAGCGGAATCGCCAGCTAAATCAAATGATAAGTCCAAAGAAAGACTGTCCTCGACAAGTTCCTTGGATAATGGACCGGTCATGTCGATGCATGTCCACATACTGAAGCCCACGAATAACGACCTGAAGAGTTTGCGGGCGGATTTGCTCAGCAAAAAGACGAATACAGAGCAAACAATATTTTTCTATTGGGCCGAGTGCTATGTGGATGCGATCAAGGATATTCTAGTCAATATATATGGCTTAACATTGAAGCAGATCGAGCCGAAAGAGGAGACCCCATCGATGGCTGCCCCTCAAACACTGCCGCAACAATATACCTGGCTGATCAATACCTCGGTGGATACTTGGAGTGCGCGAAACTTTCAACGCTCCACCAAACAATCCTTCTTTGCCCAGCAGCTGCAGCAGACCGTCGAGTTCATCAAAACGCGTCCAGCGAATGCGAATTTCGTAGTCAATCTGAACGGACGTTTCTCGGTGATCATTGGCGCCGACTACAAGGAGCTGCGGCTGGAACTGCAGCCGATGTCAAGCGATGCTCTGGGCCTGCAACGACACAGCCCATTGACCAAGTTCTTTAAGTCCCTGAAGAATATGTTGTGCAACTACAATTTCAAGGAGAAAGTCATTAGCATGCAGTATCAGCGCTGAGCGCCAAATAGGCCCAAAGGAAGTCAAAAGAAAAAATGAAGAAAAAAGGAAAAATCGAAAATAGGATCGCCAAAAATGGAAAATACCAAACCAAATAGAACAAAAACAAAATACAAAAGAGACGAGGACAAGGAGATATTTTATGATGGAGGATATTATAGCAAATATTTGGGTAGCTGTGAGCTAAAATTGAAGAGAATTGCAATTGCGGCTAATAGGCAAATTAGAAGTATAATATCAATATTATATAGCTTTAGAGGAACATCTGTAAAATGTACATAGGTGGGAAACAAATTTCTATAGACCTGATGTCCTATATATAGATATATATATCTATATAAATATATATTAATATATATATGATTATATACATATACATATACATATATATATATATATTTCGTACATATACAGTTTAAATTTTAGTTAACTGACGAATTTTTCAATCTGACAACGCTCACAATAAATTAGAAATTGCAATTCTCGACATAAAGAACTTTTTTGAGATCTTTACAAATTTCTTGTACATATATTAATTTCTCTGTTAGTTTGCCATTAGGAATAAAAGGAAAGTGTTTGGTTTTACTTTTAAGAAACATTTGGTTAACTTTTTCACTAAGATAATTATATGACTATAACAAATATGTATTTAATATAAATTTTTATAAGTATGTGTAATTGGCACGGCAGTTTGCCGTAATTAAGTAACTAAGTAATTATTTAGTATTAGACTTAAACATAACAGATGTAAACTTATGATAAACTGCTTATATTATATTTATATACAAACATACACAAAGCAGTAGAAAACTGAGCAAAAAAGGTAATGTAAGGGTAGCTTGGAACATTCATCTATTAATATGTCATCTATAATAATGTGTTCTTGCAATAGCAATATTTTTTGATAGTAAAGTCTTCCAGGCAGTCCGCCTCGCCGTTGTACTCGTTGAGACGGCTTACCGAGCCCGTCACGGACAAACTCTCGTTGTCTGGCAGCAAATCGTTGAAGCGCACTGTCGCCTCGTAGAGCGCCTTGTTCGGATTGGTGTAGAAGATGAGACGATAGATCTCTATATTGCTGGGATACATATCCATTAGGTACGCCTTGTAAGCTTCGCTCATGCTCAGCAGCGTCAGTGGCTGGCAGAGATACGCCAGGCTGCCCTGACGGAAGCTTTTCACATAATCATTAAGGTACTGCACCACATGCTCGGCCATCTGTTGCACAACCTTGGAGTTCTTGTAGACTCTCTCGTACGGCCAGCAGGTGCACCAGTGATCTTCAATGGCCACATCCTCGCAGCTGCGACTCAGCGGAACAGGCAGCAATAGGCTCTGGCACTGCGGGCAGTCCTTGGCCCCTCCCAGATCCTCCAGGCTGCCAGCTCGACCCGTCAGCGAAAGAATGTGCTTCAGTGTCAAGTGCAGGTCGTAGGGCGTGGTCAGCCGATTGTAATTGAGACGCATTGATTCCTCGAACTCTGGGTTTCCATTCCTCAGGAATTCCGGCAACCAAATGAACAGGAAGGGCAATCGCTCCTCCATGTGACCCGACCAGGTGGATCGCGTTGGTCCAAATCGCAGTCCATGATCACTGAAGAAGACGACGATACTATTCTCCATTGTGCCCTGGGCCACCAGCTGCTGCATATAGTCTCTCAGATACTCATCCATGGAGCTGGTCTGCGAGATGTCGCTGTGGCTGTGCGTGTTCGTCCAGAAGAAGCCGAAGAAGCTGTCGTTGTGGTATCGCTTGGCAAACTCCTGAGCATAGTTGTAGACATGCTCCGCCTCCGTCGCGTAGCCCACGCAATGGGGCATGCCCTTCACATTGGTGCCTTCCAGCAGCTTCTCCGCCGCAAACAAATACGGTCGCATGTAGTAGTCCACGGGGGGATGCTGGAAGCCCCTCTTCATGTAGTTGAAAGTATTGATCTCAACCGCATCTTCGCCGTAAGCAGTCACATAGCCATGTTTCTGGAACAGCTTCCAGATGAAGTCACATTTGTCCAGGCCGCTTATCTCATAAGGATTACAGTGCTTCATGACAGTCGATAGATTGTAACCCACCAAGAGTGCCATAAGGTTGGGGAACGTATTATCATCGACCTGAGGTATGGGACTCTCAGTGTGATTCGATCTGGAATTCTAGGTCAATTGATGAGCTTACCTTGTTGTAGCCCGCCATCTCGAACCAGTCGTTGTCGTAGAGGTACTGCGCTGTCTTGGGCATGGCACGTATGAGGTTCACCCTCGAGATGCTATCGATGCCAATCATCAACACGCTGGGCACCCGTTTGCCTCGATCCTTCTGCGCCCAGTGCTTGAGTCTCTGTCGCACGGCGGATCTCTCCGGTATGGTCGGATGTCCATTGATATAGACTTGAACCCCCTCCGTCCTGCACTTGACTATAACGCTCTCTGTCGTATTGGCCAGCTGTGTTCCACTCTTGAATTTCACACAAGGTGTATAGCTCACATGCATTTCATTAACACGCTCTACGCCCATGTAGCAGCAGCTCATCGAGTTGGTCGGGTCGGAGGCATTGATGTTTAGGACATAGCGCTGAGTAGTGGCATTGTAGTGTGTAGTAGTGAATGGTGGATAGGGCTTGCAAGGCTTGTAGGTGACCCGCTCGAAGTGGCACATCACCTCAGGATCGTCCGGTTCGAAATCCAGAATTTTGCAGTGGTTGGTATCAACGAGAAAGTCTTTTGGCGGATATTTCAGTAATGTGGTACACAGATATCTGATAGAGCTACTCCATTACCTTCCAAGTCTAGGTCGTTAAACGGATAATCCTCTGGGTCGATCACATCTACGGGCCTCATCAAAAAGTAACAGAATCCAAAGATCATCAACAGGCAGAGCAGCTGATTCCGGCGCAGCACAATTTTGCGAAAACACCATAAGAGCGACGGCGCTGTCATACATATAAATCCTTTCATTCTCTTCATATTGTCCGCGTACTCTAACTGTGACTTCTGGACAATGCCAATTTCTTTTTTTTTTTTTATATTTGTATTTGTTTACGTTATATATTTATGATATAATCAAATTTTGATTTTTATTAAACTTTCGATTTTGTTGTCTTCTCTACTACGATTGAAACATTTTTGTGAAGTACTGCAATTTCGATAAGGTATGCGATATGGATATACTTTATTGCAATGAACTTAAACCTAGATATCGGTCCGTTCATATACCTCTCTGTTCTCTCATCCGTATGTCCGTTCGATCCGTTCATCCGAAATAAGAAAGTCTATCTAGAAGAAAAGATAATCAGTAAATAAATAATTACAGGCTAAGCACAGTTATGATCTGTGGTAGCTCTTAGTCGAGCTACTCCTCTATTTCTCTCCTTGTTGTTTTGCCATTAGGAATACAAGAAATTGTTTGGTTGTTATTTTAAGAAAAATCTATTTTCATTGTTCTCACTAATTAGACAATTCTATGAATGTAACAAATATGTATTCAATATAACTATTTATAAACATGTGTATTTGATACAGCAAACTTAAGTATTATATATAATTAGACTCAAGTATAATCGATGTAAAATTTATAATAATTGAAAACTTGGCAAAGGTTTGAATTTTATTTTACAATATATAAATTGGGAAATGTTTATAGAGTTTAGATATATACACATATAGTATATATATATATATATAAGAGTATTAGAAGAGTGAGCAAAAAGGGTAATGCAAGGGTAGTTTCATACAGTTTAGAGTTAAGACATTTAGCATTTAATAATAAAGTGCCACAACTATTCAGACTACCCTCACCTCTAATTATGTACACGGTATTTATATGTATGTATATATTTATATTTATAAGTATATATGTTTGTAAGTAAGTAAGTATTATCACGTTGCTGCTCTGGAAATGGTCCGAGTCTTTATACTTTCTACAGAGAGAGAGGACGCTACTACGCTAAGCCCTTAATAACTACATATAACGGCACTTGGGGGCTTAAGCCTAAACAATCATAATATCTATAATATCGGAGGTCATCATCAACCTCCTTTGCGCTTGCAATAGCAATACTTTTTGATGGAAAAGTCGTTCATGCAGTCCGCCTCGCCGCTGTACATGTTCAGACGACTCACCGAGCCCGTCACTAGCATATTCTCGGCCTCTGGCAGCTGCTTGTTGTAGCGCACTGTTGCCTCGTAGAGCGCCTTGTTGGGCGCGGTATAGAAGATGAGCCAATAGATCTCTATATGGCTGGGATCGTTGTCATTCGGATGCGCCTTATAGGCGGCGCTCATGCTCTGCAGCGACAGCGGCTGGCAGAGATGCGCCAGGCTTCCGTTGCGGAAGCTGCTCACATAGTCGTTCAGGTGCCGCACCACACGCTTCGCCAGCTGGCGGACAATCTTGGAGTTCTTGTAGACACTGTCGTAGGCCCAGCAGGTGCACCAGTGGTCTTCAATGGCCACATCCTCGCAGCTGCGACTCAGCGGAACAGGCAGCAATAGGCTCTGGCAATGCGGGCAGTCCTTGGCCCCTCCCAGATCCTCCAGGCTGCCTGCTCGACCCGTCAGCGAAAGAATGTGCTTCAGTGTCAAGTGCAGGTCGTAGGGCGTGGTCAGACGATTCCGGTTTATATTCAATGCATCCACAAACTCCGGATGTGCTTTTCTCACGAATTCCGGCAACCAAATGAACAGGAAGGGCAATCGCTCCTCCAAATGCCCCGACCCGGTGGAACGCGTTGGTCCAAATCGCAGTCCGTGATCACTGAAGAAGACGACGATACTATTCTCCATTGTGCCCTGGGCCACCAGCCGCTGCATATAACCTCTCAGGTACTCATCCATAGAGCTGGTCTGCGAGATGTCGCTGTGGCTGTGCGTGTTCGTCCAGAAGAAGCCGAAGAAGCTGTCGTTGTGATATCGTCTGGCAAACTCCTGGGCGTAGTTGTAGACGTGCTCCGCCTCCGTCGCGTAGCCCACGCAATGGGGCATGCCGAGCACACTGTTGCCACCTAGCAGCTTCTCCGCCGCATACAAATACGGTCGCATATAGTAGTCCACGGGGGGCTGTTGGAAACCCTTCTTCAGATAATTGAAGGTATTGATCTTGATTGCATCCTCGCCATAGGCCGTCACAAAGCCATGTTTTTGGAACAGCTTCCAGATGAAGTCACATTTGTCCAGGCCGCTTATTGTGTAGGGATTACAGCGCTTCATGGCAGTCGATAGATTATAGCCCAGCATGAGTGCCATAATATTAGGAAAAGTATTGTCATCAATCTATGACGGAGGAAGACTTTAGATGTAATTCGATCTGGGTCAACTGATGATCTTACCTTGTTGTAGCCCGCCAGCTCGAACCAGTCGTTGTCGTAGAGGTACTGCGCTGTCTTGGGCATGGCACGTATGAGGTTCACCCTCGAGATGCTATCGATGCCAATCATCAACACGCTGGGCACCCGTTTGCCTCGATCCTTCTGCGCCCAGTGCTTGAGTCTCTGTCGCACGGCGGATCTCTCCGGTATGGTCGGATGTCCATTGATATAGACTTGATCCCGTTCCACCTTGCACTTGACAATAATGCTGTCTGTCGTATTGTCTAGTTGTGCGCCAC